AGATATTAAACAGAACTGGCCCCAACACTGAGCCCTGGGGAACACCACTTGTGACCGGCTGCCAACTGGATTTTACTCCATTCACCACCACTCTCTGGGTTCGTCTGTCCAGCCATTTTTTTTACCCAGCAAAGTGTACGCCCATCCAAGCCATGAGCAGCCAGCTTCTTCAGGAGAATGCTGTGGGAAATGGTGTCAAAGGCCTTACTAAAGTCCAGGTAGACAATATCCACAGCCTTCCCCTCATCTATTAAGTGGGTCACCTTGTCATAAAAACAGATCAGGTTAGTCAAGCCAGGACCTGCCTCCCATAAACCCGTGCTGACTGGGCCCGATCCCCTGCTTGTCCTGCACATGATGCATGATGGGATTCAGGATGATCTGCTCCACAACCTTCCCTGGCAGCAAGGTCAGACTGACAGGCCTGTACTTCCTTGGATCCTCCTTCCAGCCCTTCTTGTAGATGGGTGTCACATTTGCCAACCTCCAGTCAACTGGGACCTCCCCGGTTAGCCAGGACTGCTGACAGATGATGGAAAGTGGCTTGGTGAGCACCTCTGCTAGCTCCCTCAGTACCCTTGGGTGGATCCCATCTGGCCCCATAGGCTTGTGTGTGTCCAAGTGGTGTAGCAGGCTGCTGACCATTTCCCCTTGGATTACAGGGGCTTCATTCAGCTCCCTGTCTTCCAACTCAGGGGGCTGGTTACCCTGAGAACAACTGGTCTGGCTATTAAGACTGAGGCAAAGAAGGCATTAAATACCTCAGCCTTTTCCTTGTCCTCTGTCACTGTGTTTCCCTCCACATCCAATAAAGGGTGGAGATTCTTCTTAGCCCTACTTTTGTTGCTAATGTATTTGTAGAAACATTTTTTATTGTCTTTTACATAATATCTTAGTTCAGAAGGAATAACTAAAATTTAATTAGCTGAACTTGTGACACATTCCATAGAAATGTTTTCTCAAGGTCAAACTGTTCTAAAATATTTACCATCATCTATTTAATCCAATTACTGTAGAGAGCCATCTGAAAGTCTTTTAGCTGTTTTTTAATTCAAGTAACCAGCTGGAGAGCTGCAGATGGTGTTGACAATACTATCTGCAATTATGAAGCATCTTCACTTTACTGGCATTTTGTACTTTATTGGAAACTTCACCTTTTCTATGGATGTGTCATGCTAGCATGGAATGTTGAGTGGTGTGCTACTTCACAATTTTTTTTTCCTCTTTTGTAGGGTAAGTACTATCGACTGGTGTTAACGGCGGGGTGGGGGGGATCAGTTTTCGCTGCATAACTGAGATCTAGTCTGGAAAACCAGGAAGGATTAGTTCAGCCAAATTCCTTCCTTGTGCTTTCACTCTCTATGTGTTAGTGGAGAAGCATGTTTTGTCTAATTAGGCTGTTTTGTACTTTATCTGCAGAATGTGCATAGTTGTGTGTTGTATCCCTTGTGTCTAGTAGTTGTGAAATCCCAGTTTAACTTCTTTTTTGTCTGCTGATGCTGTGTAATAGATTCTGGAAATCAGTCTGCTGCATAAAGTAGTATTTAACTTAGTATTTTAAATTATTCTGTTAGTTTTATAAGTATAAGTAATTGGAGAACTGTTGAAGGAATGGAGTTGCTTCTCTGTTCAGATAAAGTCATTCTAGACACTGTAGGGATTTAGTTTGGAGGGGTCATCTTGGCAAGGTCAAGCAGCAGACCTTCCTGAAAAAGACTTATCCTTAACTCCTTGCCCCAGGAAATAGTGAGCTATAGTATGTGGTGGTGTTAAAGCAGCAGTTATCTAATGTGGAAGTTGAACCTTCAAATAAAATACTTTCAGAAACTGATGATTGTCAGCTTGTTAGCTTGTTAGATGGCTGCTAAAAGTTAAACTACATAAGCAGCAGCATATCACTCAAGTTTAAGAGGTGGGAAGTCTGTACTTCAACTGCACCTAGGGGATATTTCCAAACCTGGGGTCAGAACTGAGGGACGAACAGGCAAATTCTGGGTTGCTTACTTTCTCTACTGTTCAAATTGTTTAGACACCAGTTTCTGCTCTGAAATGAGCTTTAGGTGGGGTTTGAAGCATAGTAAATGAGAAAAACAGATCATGTTATACCTTAGCATGAACTCAGTGCACCCCTTCTTGCACTGGAGAGATTCTTCAGCTGGCTCGCATGTCCTGCTGGCTGCCTTCTGACATGACCTCTTGAATGTTACAGGCTCAGTGACCCATACAGGCCTTTATGCTACCTGTCTGCAGTCTTAAAAATGCCTTGACAATTTGATTCTTAATTCTGTTAAAATCTGCCATTTTGTAATGGAGAAGAATACTAAGTATTTTTAGATGTGGCTGTATTTATGATGTTAGAGAAGAAGTAAGATTTAACCAGTACTGTCAGGGTACAAATAAATGCTCTGCTATCTGGGTCACAAAAGGCCCAGTGTGTGGTGGAGCTTTTTTGCCTACACAAATCAACATTGTAGTTGACTTTGATTTTTACAAAACTTATGCAATCCTGGTAGAGAGACAGTTTTTCAAAGTACTGAAATGTGTTTTTCAGTATAGAATCTGCTTTGTATCTCCTTCTTATGGCTACAGTTTATCTAAAATGGGAAGTGAGTAATAAGGATCTGTGTCAGAACAGGCAATAACTGACACATCTGTAGGGGAAATTGTACCCAATAGTAATGGGGTTACCTGTGTAACTCTTAGCTTAGTGTTACCTGTTTTCATGTTCACTATACATAATGACAAATTTTTCTCTTCTATACCTTTTTGGTAGAGGAGAGTAAATTTGATTTAGAATAGACTATTTCAGTTGGAAGGGACCTACAATGATTATCTAGTCCAACTACCTGACCAATTCAGGGCTGATGAAAAGTTAAAGCATGTTGTTAAGGGCGTTGTCCAAATGCCTCTTAAACACTGACAGGCTTGGGGCATTGACCACCTCTCTAGGAAGCCTGTTCCAGTGTCTGACCACCCTCTCAAGTAAAGAAATGCTTCCTAATGTCCAGTATAAACCTCCCCTGGTGAAGCTTTGAACCATTCCCACACGTCCTATCGCAGGATACCAGGGAGAAGAGCTCAGCACCTCCCTCTCCACTTTCCTTCCTCAGGAGGCTGTAGAGAGCAATGAGGTCTCCCCTCAGCCTCCTTGTCTCCAAATGAGACAAGCCCAAAGTCCTTAGCTGTTCCTCATAGGACATTCCTTCCAGCCCTTTCACCAGCTTTTTTGCCTTCCTCTGGATACATTCAAGGTCCTTCACATCCTTCTTTAAATTGTGGGGCCCAGAACTGCACTCCGTACTCCAGGTGAGGCCACACCAGTGCTGAATACAGCGGGATAATCACCTCTTTTGACCGGCTGGTTATGCTGTGTTTGATGCACCCCAGGATGCGGTTTGCCCTCTTGGCTGCCAGGGCACACTGCTGACATATATTGAGCCTGCTGTTGACTAGCACCCCCAGACATCCCTTTCTGCAGGGCTGCTCTCCAGCCACCCCTCTCCCAGTTTATACTTATGCCTGGTGTTACTCCGTCCTAGGTGCAGAATCTGGCATTGTGACTTGTTACATTTCCATCCCATCAATCATAGCCCAATGCTCCAATCTATCTAGATCCCTCTGCAAGGCTGCTTGTCCCTCAGGAGAGTCAACAGCACCTCCCACTTCAGTAGCATCAGCAAACTTGTTAATGGTGCATTCAGCTGCTGCATCCAAATCATTGATAAATATATTGAACAGGACTGGGCCTAGAATTGGACCCTGAGGAACACCCCTGGTGACTGGTTGCCAGCCAGATGTAGCCCCATTCACTACAACCCTTTGGGCTCTGCTCTTCAGCCAATTCTTCAGCCAACGCACTGTGAACCTGCTCATCCCACAGCTGGACAACTTGTCCAGAAGGATGCTGTGAGGGACAGTATCAAAAGCCTTACTAAAATCCAGAAAAACTACACCCACTGCCTTCCCTTCATCCGCTAGGCAGGTGACCTTACCACAGAAGGATATCAGATTAGTTAAACAGGACTCTCCCTTTGTGGACCCATGTTGACTGTGTCTGATGATTGCATTATTCTTTAAATGCCTTTCAGTAGTACCCAGTATAGTCTAACCTCAGTTCCTGGAAAAATTATGGAGAAGATTAACAGGTCTGTAGCTCCCTTGGTCTTCCCTTATGCCCTTTTTGTAAATTGGAATAATATCTGCTAGCTTCCAGTCAGCAGGGACCTCCCCAGATTCCCAAGACCTTTGGTAGATGATCGAGATGGGTCCTGCCATAATATCTGCTGGCTCCTTCAGTACTGTGGGATGAATCCCATCAGGCCTCACGGACTTGTGAACATTCAGCTGATACAACTGGTCCCTTACAATTTCAGTGTCCACAAATGGAAAGTCGCTGTTCCCATACTCGTGGTCCTCCAACTGAGGGAACCGGGCAGCCCAAGGTTGATCAGTATTATGAAAGACTGAGGCAAAAAAAGCATTGAATATCTCCTCTTTTTCTTCATCTCTGTTAGTCAGATGACCACCTTCAACAAGTATCAGTCCAATGTTTTCTTTATACCTCCTCTTAATATTAACATAATTTTAAAAGCCCTTGTTATCTAAAACAACACTGGCCAGTTTCAACTCTGACTGAGCTTTGGCCTTTTGTGTCTTCTCCCTGCATATACAAACCACAGTCCTGTAATCTTTCTGCGAAGCCTGACCTTGCTTCCAGAGCTCATACAATTTCTTCTTCCTCTGGAGTTCCAAGAGGAGTTCCCTGTTCAGCCAAGCTGGTCTTGTGCCCCTCTTGCTTGACTTACAACACAGTGGAATTGCCTGCTCCTGTGCTTCTGAAAGGTGGTTCTTAGAAACTGACCAGCACTCATGGACAATGGAGTGTAATTGTTCTTCAGAGCTGAATACTCTCCAAAAGTGTTCAACTATTATCCTATAAATTGGAATTAGCTGATTTTTTTTTGTTCTGTGTTAATCAATACTACTTGCTTTCCTTTTAGATCAGTGTATTGTTACTCGGACGTACCTCTTTCTTCATAAATTTTGGTTCTTCAGTGCTGCCTATTACTTTGGGAACTGGGCATTCATTGCAGTAAGTACTTTGATTATAGAGATCACTGATTCAAGTTGGATAACAGTAGTTGTCAGTGAATCTTTTGCATCACCACACTGCCATTCAGTTTTATGTATATTGCTTTTGTATGCCCCTTACTTGAATAATACTAATTTTTACTACTTATTTTAAATTTGCAGGTCTTTTTAATTGGATTAATTGTTTCATGCTGCAAAGGCAAGAAATCAGTCATTGAAGGTGAAGTGGATGAAGATGATTCAGACATGAGTGATGATGAACTGTCTGTTTATTACCGTTGATAGCCTTTTGTCTTCAAGATGGAAAAATGTAATTTAAAGTTACGTTGAAAGTCATACCCATGTGGAATTGGTATCCAAATAAGCATCCTTGCACCTGTAAAAATAGAGGAAATAAGTGTACTCACTTAAAGGGGTAAAAAAACTGAATATCACTTTTTGAGTGTCACTGTAATATCAGAACAAATATTGAAGCTGGGTTTGAATAATATATAAAAAATATTGTTTTATGATTAAATGTATATGTAACTTTCTGATGTATAATTGAACTATTTTCACTTTCATAATTCCTGATGGTTTTCTGTTAACTTAGGTTTTCTTAAATACTTTCATGCCTAACTTACAGGATTTTTTTTTTATTCAAGCTCATAAATAAAACTAGCGAAAATCCTGCAAAACAGCTGGTGTTAACATTGCTAGAAAGATTTGGATGAGGTTTACACTTTCAGAAGGATATGACTTAACTTTTGCATAAGTTCTGCTGGGATTCCCATATAAAACTATAGCTAACAAGAAACTGTCCTTAAAGTATGCCAAAACCAGCTACTTAAGTGGTGAGTTCCCAGTCTGTGAAGAATAAGTCATTTTCATAGTGTTAGCCCCACTGAGTTACCATGGGAATCCTCAGGTAACTATGAGGTGGCTTTTGCTCTATCAAAGGAAATCATTAGTGTAAATGACAATATTCAGCATTGTTGCAGTGTTTTAGTACAGTTCAGTTCTGAAACTGCCAGGTGCCTGACTTAGTAATAACCAATGGAATAATTAAGATGTGATTAATTTTTTTATTTTCTTTAATGCAAATTGTGTTGTTTGAAGTTTTCTTTCAGTACTTAATGTAAATGTTGTCAACTTGTTTACAAGCCAATATATTTATATAAACACAGTTCATAAATATTTTTGTCATTCATGTTGTCTTTGTAATGTTATTTTAGCTATATAGTTACTGAGCTATATTTCTAAAGCTGAAAAAATCTTCAGATATCATTTTACAGACTCTGAAAGAGAAAATGTTTACAGGTTTTTAAACTTCCAATGCTATGTGAGGGAAACTATAGTCCATGCAAGCATGTGGAAATGGAACTTCCTGATCCAATGGTTTTTCCTGTCTAAATAGTCTATATGTAGAAATACAATGATCTGCCTTTGAATTGGTGGCTTTGTCTCTTTAACTGGAGGATTCAGTAAGTACCACTTTTTTAATCCAGGTGTTAACCAGATTTACAACCAGCCCATTGGTAGTTGCAGCTAACAAGAAGCAGGCTTCTGTATGAGAGTTTGGAAGTTGTTTCAGACATTCGCTGTCACCCTCTGTCATACAAGCAGTAAATAACTGTCAGCATTTATAATCGGAATTATTGTTTACCTGCCGCATCCTCACTAAAGTTTCTCAGGAGTTCAGTGACCCATTTGACTGACAAGGTTTTAAAAGATTTTGTATGCATTAATGTAATTGTAATGAATATGCACTCAAGAATTCATTTCTAATCAACACTTGTGATGGAAACTTGATGTTAACTGTACTGTGCCTTTAAAGTGAGCTAGAGGTGGTTTTGGAAGCTGTTGTGTGATTGAACTCACCAACTGGATTTCTACATCCAGTATCACCCAGTGAAAAAAAAATAGTACTGAAATTTAAGATAGCCCTGGCTTAAAATACTTGGCTTTGATCAATACTTGCAGGAACTTTAAGAAACAGAACTTCCAGTATATTGTTTCCTAGATGTCTCTTGTGCTGTCTTTGATAAAATACTTGCAAGTAAAACAGTGAATTACTTTTCTTCCACAAAGTTATCCCTGCTGTGGCAGCACTTGTAGTATGATTGAAATAGTTCACTCGTTTAGCTGTTAGCTATGAAATAGTAGTCCAGAGTTTTCTGCAGGTTTGGGGGTAAATTTGAACTTTCCAGTTATGTTATACAGTATTCTAGCTTGTAAGTGAACATCTGACATCTTCAACTGAGTCTTCAGAGATCTCAATTTTCTGGATTAAAGTCACTTAAAGCATCAGAATTGTTTCACTGCTTTGATTATATGAATTATATTCCAAATCTATCTCTGTAGCGTGAGCTTTCAAAACTTTTGAATAGGTGTAGTACTATTGTCAGACCTGGCTTAAGTTAAGATTTTTTTTTTTCTTGTTGTTGTACTTTTCTAGTCAGCTTCTACTCTGTTGGAGGCCTGTGAACATTTAGAAACTAGTTGAGCCTTCAATCTTGCTGACACATCAAGCATAAACCGTGGTCACCAGGAACATGTTTAATAGAATTCAGCAGCAACACATGCCAAATGGAACCTTATCTTGCTGCTTGTTCTGTAGTGATTGGTGGTTTATCTAGAGTTACAAATCATGAACACAATAAAGCCTGTAATAGTCTGTTTTATTTCTTAGCTGAAAGCTGGTGGTATGCAGCAGATTTCCTGCTAATCCTGCTGATTGTCAGAAATGAGTGAAAAGCCTTTCCTAGTAAAGAGTGCAAAGAAACATCTGCTACTCTTTTTGTATTTTCTCTTTTGACTTCAGGAAAAGATTTCAGGGTGGACTTGAGATTTTTGCACTGAAAACCGTAATGTACGTAGAGTGTATGTGTACCAGAGTTATGGCACATAGAACAGTAATTTCATGCTCAGATAATGTGACAATTTAAGCTAAAGAACTAATGAACCCTTTCAGTGCTCATGTTTTGCTTCTGGATAATCAGCGTAGGCATAACTCTTCAGGTGATGTCTTCTACTGCTTAAAAATTGTATTTCTTGGGCTCACAGCTGGTTTGTTATTTGACTTTCTCACACAAGTTCCTGAATTGGACAGTGGCCTACAACTGCATTTTGAAAAACATTACCCCCTTGTAGAAACTATTATGTGGTTTATCCTAAAATACTGGTAACTACTGGAGTGCATAGCAGAGTTACACTTGAAGTGTTTAAGAAAACTGATTAAGTATAGAAGGTAACTTGTTTCCACGTAAGTAGATACTCAACCCATTATGAAAGCACTGAAACAGTTCTGGGTATGGATAGGGAAATAAAGCACTACGTGTGAGATTAAGCAAAGCAAAAAGATTCATCCCTTTCTAAAATCATCTAAAATAATTCGAAATACACAAGCTGTAACATTTTTCAGGCTCTTAGGTTGAAGATTATAGTTCATAATGATAATACATCTTACATTAATGTAGATCTGTTCTCTTGCAACCTTCTGCAAAGTCAGCTTTCTTGCAGATAAAGCAAAGAAATGGAACAATCACTATTTTTTCCTGTAAATGTGTGTTTTGACTATACTCAAAAGAAATAAAGGCCTTGTTTTGATTGTGGTAAGATATCATCATTTTCTGTTAATAGTCTAAATTTTAAAACAAATTCTGCTTATAAATTAAGACACTTGCCAATTCTGGATAATTAGATGAATTGGAAATTCTAGTGTTCTTGACTAGCTTTAGCGAGATGTGGTTGTTACAGAAATTATCTGGAAGTTGGACTAATTTTAACATCTTCCTATTCAGAGAGATTACATGAATGATAGCACTTCAATCAAATCCATAGCTATAAAGAAGATTATTTCTTTGAAATAAACAGATAATTTAAGCACATTTAACAAAACCATATTTATAGCTTTCTTCCAGATTCACCCCTAGGAAAAGAGTGATATATTTAGGGGGTCAGACAGAAGAATTTTGGTTTCTGGAAGGCTGATCTTAGAGGTAAGCCACGCAGATCCAGTAAGTTTGCTGATCCTCCTGTTTTCACCCAGAAGGATGTGTGGGGCCTTCCCTTATAACAGCTGATTAATGCTGAGTCTTAATTTTGCTTGTTATAAACATATCTGCTTTTTTTGCCAGACAAAACATGCAGGTTGCCTGTAAAACATACAACTTAATTTTTTTGAGGAATATTGAAGAATGATGTCAAAATCCTTATTATGAGAATCCAAATATCTTGCATAAAGGTAGAGGCTGTGAGAACACTCAAAGCAACTGTGAAGCTGAACATGTGCATAGCTCCTGC